GAACCACCTGCCCCTGGCCTCTGCTCATCCCGGAACCTGAAGGAACGACAGGGACTGTCTTTTGGGGGGGCAACGTTGCTCCCACTGGGGTTTCTGTGGAGGGGAGCCAAAGGCGGCTGGCAGCATGTGGTCTGGCCAGGAGCAGGGTCCTGGGTCACCAGGAGACTGATGTGAGCCCACTGCATGCCACTCACAGCGGTGGGACCTTGGGCAAGATCACCTGGCCTCCTGCCAGTCCTATGCCCTCACCTAGAAAACAGGGTGATAATACCAGCCACATCTGGCGGCAGAATCCAAAAAGCCTGGGGCAGAGAAGAGCTCACAATCACCATGAGAGCCTTGCTTTGCAGGCTCGGAGCCTCAGCCAGGCTCGCTCACAGCTGCAGCCCCAAGACAGAGCAGGATGAGACCCCAGGGACAGAGGGCACCGCCTGGGAGGAGCCCTGTACATTTTAGTCCATACATGGTGGGGAGGGGGCCCTTCCGGGTGGTGCAGCGGGTTAGAGCACAGCACTACGAAGCTGGCCATGGCCACCTCAGTGCAAGCTCGATTCCTGGCCCCGGAGCTGACCCACATGGCGAGGCAGACCTCTCCTGACCTGCCCGCTGCTCCCCTCGGCAGTGTATTTCATCAATCTGCCTGTTCTGCTCCCCACTCTGTCTCTGGTGAAACCAGACACCGCACCTGCACTTCTAGCCTATACCCCAGTTCTATATGCATGAATAAATAAATCTTTTTTAAAAAAAATAAATAAATAGTGGGGAAGACCCTGGGTCCGGGGGAGACAACAGGTAGGCGGGTGGGCCAACCAGAGTGGAAATATTCAGCAGTTTACCAGCCAGGGTGAGCCTGGCAGCTGGGGGACCCCCGGGGATGCTGAACAACTCAAATGCGAAAGAGAATGCCCCCTGGGTGGGTGTAAAAGCCTGAGACCAGCACCACACACAAATGGGAGTTGATCTGGGCCCTCCTGGTGCCCCAGACCCAGCCAAACGCCCTGTTCTAGCCCCACCAGCTAGACAGACTCTTCCCCCACAAAGCCTCAGTCTCCCCCTGGGGCAAGCCGGGATGGTTCCTGGACTCCAAATGTCCACACTCTCCCTCAAGTGCGTGTGTGTGCCTGTCCGTGTGTGCCCCTGCGTGGACATGCCTGTGTGCACACGTGTGCAGGGACACGCGTGCACGGTGGGTGTGTGTAAACCCACCCCTCCCAGCCTGAGGCCCTGTGCACCTGGCGGGGGGTGGGGGCCCCCCACCTTAGAAGACACAGGCCTTCAGGCTGCGCAGCACCACGGGACGGAATTCAAATCTAATCACTTGAAGATGGGCCTGTTTATTTGCATGGCACGCATTTGTCTCTGACTGTTTTATCCACCCCCTGAGCCAGCCGAAGAGCTCTCAATTTATCCTGCCCGCACGGAGAGACCAGATTGGCGGCGCGCACATTCACAGAAGCCCAATATAGACTTCCAATTATCTTTTAATTTCGTTCCTGTCTTCATTTGTTCATTTCACTTTTTCCAAACGGACTGAAATAAAAAAAAAAAAAAAACCTGTAATTTATGGAGTTTGAAGCCAGCTAGCAGGGGTGTCGTGTTCACCTGCCGGATGCAATGAGAACTCAGATAGAAATGAAAACTCACTTGTAACCGCCTGCAGGGAGACGCTCCTCAGAGATGCCCAATCCCCGCGCTCCGGTCTCCTGTTCTCTTGACTCTGCTTGACTCTGTAGTGGCTACATCTGCTCATTGTCTGTATTCCTGATGCCCTGGGCTCAGGGTGGGGGGAGGGGACTAACTTTTAGGGGGGGGGAGGAGGGACCTGGGACTGTCCCTTTCATATGCAAATGAGCCTACACCTGCCACCCCTCTTCACTGGGCTCTCAGCATGTACTCCAGGTACGTGGGCCATGACCCCTGTACCTGTCACCCCACAACCAGGTGTTGGGTCACCAAAGACAGCCCCAGAGGGCACCCTGACCTTATCCTAACCAGGCAGCCCTAAGCCTTGGCCCACTCCTTCCTCAGAAACTACAAGAAAGGGTCTTGCTCATCCCTTTCCCAGTTCCCTGCCTGGCATTTCAGGGCCAGCACATGGCCCTTCTCAGGAACTGAAACCAGCTGTCTCTCAACAGCCATCATCTCCTCACACATGAGAATAAGCAGTCCGAGTCGGCCGTGCGGCTGGTCATGGACGAGGGTGGGCAGGGGGAGTCCCACGTGCCGCCTGTGGAGCTGCCTCCGCCCACCTCCGCAGGTGTTTTTCTCCCTCTACCATGAGCAGTGCCGATAGCCCGGATGCGAATCAGCCCTGGAGACCCACCCACCCTCTTTGCACACCTGAGCCAGGGCGGGGAGGGGGCACAGGGGGCCCTGTGCTCCGTCATGGCTCCCCACCAAGGGGCACGGCACAGCCCCCTTCTTCCCACTCAGCATCTTCTTCCCCAAGAATCTGCAGTGTCCAGAGAAGCAGGGATCAGGGTGTCTCTCAGCCTGTGCGCTGCACCCCAGGGCATGGTGAGCCTCTGATAAGTCTGTGTTCAGCCGCTCGGTCCCTAAGGCCACCTCGCCCCGCTGGCTTCGCCCGTACTCGGTCTTCCTGGAGCCCTCCCTGCCCCGATTCCGATGCCCTGCGCCAGCTCCCTGGTGCCCTACAGTCCCGTTACTTCTGTCAGTGAGCACCTGCTGGCGAATCCCGGCATTCCCTTCTCCCCTGTGATCCCTCCCGCTGGATCAGGTCCCAGGCAAGTGGCCATCTTCCAGGTCAGAGCAGAAGCTCCTCCTGAGGCGGTGTCTCCTGTTTCCGGGGTCCCCCCACCTCCCTGCTCCTTGTCTGCGGCCCAGGTGTGGCCGCACCCCGCACTCAGGAGCACGGCTCCAGTGGAAAACAGATTAGCTGGCTGGGCGGGCTTTAGCAGAGCTGCGGGGGGACGTGCCCCGGGGTACAGCGGGGCTCTACATGGTGGGAGGCCGCATACCGAAGGAGCCGGGTCTCCTGCGTCTAAGCTCGGAATCACTGTGTTGCCCATGAGGGAAAAGACGGGCACTCAGGGGTGCTGGTTGCTGTCATCGTGGGCCAAGACCTGGCTTCCGAGGTCAGATCCCGTGGCTGAATTCAGATGACACAGCAGAGACAGAACCCCCTTGCCCGCAGGTCCACACAGCCCCTTGGAGCCACCAGAAACTGGGGGGACAGCTGTGTGCTCCCCGCAGGACAGTGGGCAGTCCCTGAGACCCGCCCCGAGCGCCCTACCCACCCTGCCCGGGGAAGCCCCGTCCAGGTCAGCTCCGGCCTCACGAGTGCTGGCCCCATGCTGGCCTGGGCCCAAAGCCCAGCTGCACCGTCTGTCCCGACTTCGAATCCAGACAGAACTTGCTCTTGAGCCTGCGGCCATGTGAGCACAACTAGCTGCCAGCGACACTCGGAAGCACAGGAGCCCAGAGAAGGAAAAGATGAGTCTGGAAGGTTGGAGCACAGCCTGTGACCCCTGAAGGCCGGCGGGAGCTGAACCAGCAAAGACAAGAGCAGCCTTATCTGCGTCTCCCGGGCTGAGGGCTGAGACGCTGGCGTGAAGGAGGACACGGAGGCCAGAGGGGGCGACCATCTCCAGCGTGGCACCCAGGTGTCCTGAGAGTCAAGGTGTCAGCCACTCCCCCACCAGTTTGTCACTGCCTTGAGCCGCAGAGGCATCATTTCGCTTTTTAATCAGGTGCCAACATTTAGAAATGGAGAGTGGCCATAACCCTACCTGGACTCTAAGAATCTGGAGGTCAGGCGGTGCCCACCTGTCCGAGTGGCCCCACCAGCTCAGTGGCCTCGCTGGTGGCCTTGCTCTGCCCAGCTCTGGGGCAGCACAAGTTTGAGACCCTGCCCTGGCCGCGGGGTCCTAAGGCCTGGACTTGGGGGGCCGAGGGGCAGTACACCTGCACTTCAGGAAGTCCAGGGGATGATGACTAATGGGAGGATGATGACGCTGTGGAGGAAGAGGATAATGTTTACTGAGCGTTATAAGGTGGGGCCCTCCCATCTCACACACGTTAACCCATTATGTTCCCATCACAACCTCAGGAGGTGGGGTGCCATCAGCCCAGGTTCCAGAGGCAGAAACTGAGGCACAGAGAGGTGAAGTCACAGCCTAAGACACACAGTTGGGAAATGAGAGTGGATCCAGACCCCACAGCAGCAGAGAGGGGGCCGGACGCCCCGCCTGTCCCTGTACAGGGCCAGGGCACACCCTCGCCTCTCCCTGATCTGGGGACGAGGTGGCTTGTTTTGTCCAGCTCCTCTCGGGAAGGACAGCTTCTCCTAGGAGACCCGGGGGCAGGGAGGCGGGCAGAGGCCTCAAGAGCCGGGTCAGGTGGCCTGGCTGCGGTCCCTGGCTCAGCCTCCCCAGCTGCCAAGTGCTGACCCCACCGGGCACCGTGAGGATCCAAGACCCCGTCAGGAAGGACACTCAGGGAGCACTCGGGCCACACCTCTGTGGCTCCACCTGCGTGTACCACACCCAGCCCTCTTAGCTCGGTGGATTTGCAAAAGAGAAAATAAAGCATATACAAATAAGCCACCCCTCGCGTTTCCTGGCATCCGGGCTGCTGGCTAAGAGCTTCCTCCTTCTTCTCCTTCCGACGTCTGGACACTCCTACCCTCCTCCGGCTGCTGCTGGCTCAAGTGGCGGATCACAAGCTCAGGCCCGGGCAGACCCCCCACTGCACCCCAAGAAAAGCATCAAGGAATCCAAGGAAGCCAGCCCTGAGATCTACGAGTCAGGGGGTCCGGGCCACCCTCTGCCAGCTCAAAGTCACCTTTGCTCCAACTTCTCAGCCTGGCAGCCAGAGTCAGCCCCAAACTCCCTCCCTCCCCGCTCAGCTCAGCAGGAACCCAACGGCCCCTATTGGGCAATCATTAATCGGATTCTTGACATTCCTGGGCCCAGGTTGGCCTGAGAAGCATGCTCCCTGGTGGAGGAGGAGGAGCAGAGGCCCAGGACTGGCGTTGGAACATGCAGCTGACCGGCAAGGTGGTGCTGTCCGCAGCCGCTCTGGTCCTGGTGACTGCAGCCTACAGGCTGTACAAGTCGAGGCCTGCCCAGACCTCTCCGGGGGGCAGGAGACCCAAGCCCAAGGGGGAGGAGCAGGAGGAGGCGGAGGACTCGGACTCGGGACACACAGCCGTCGGGAGCACTGCTCCGGGAGCACCCCCCTGGGGACTGAGACACCGGAGGGGGAGCACGGCGACCGGAGCACCACCGGGCTGCAGCTGGGAAGACGCGGGGAGCTCCCAAGTCCTGGCAACAGGAGCCTCCCCCAGAGCCGGGACGCCTGGGAGAAAAGGCGCCGGTGAGGAGCCGGGCGGGCTGTGCCCAGACTTTGACCAGGCGCCTCCTTGCTGCAGCAGCCAAGAAGCTGGGACAGAGGCTGGCGGTAAGCCAGAGCTGCCCCACCGCCCCCATCTGGGCAGCGAACCGGACCGGTCCCCAAGTGGCCGCGCTGTGGCCGATGCCGGCGCTGCAGGTGGCGAGCCGGCGCCATGGCGGGACAGGGGAACCCCAGAGCAGCCGGGGGCTGGGGAACAGGACTGTCCCCTCCAGCGCCGGCTGGCCCACGCGGGAGGCGTGAGCGACACGAGCCAGAGCTGCGCCTACCCTGCAGTGACAGGACTCGGCCGGGAGGAGGACGGTGCCCTCCAGGCTTCCTCAGACCTGGCCCTGCGTCAGCAGGCAGCCGCCGCCAGTGCCTCCTACACCTTCTCCTCCGTGGCCCGGGTTCGCGTGGAGAATTTCAGCCAGGAGAAGGTGGAGGGCACCAAGCCCAGGCTGAAGGGCAAAGTGTACAATTACTATGTGGAATCCACGTCTCAGGCCACCTCCACCGACAGGCGGACCCCCAGGACGGCAGCCTTGGGGGAGGCTGCGCCCCCTGTGCTGGGCCCCCAGGGAACAGGGCCCCCCTGGGAAGACCAAGCCCAGGGCCCAGGAGCTGGCGCCGAAGCAGCGGCCTGGCCCCAGCCTGCCTCGCCGCCCCCTCGGCGAGCCCTGAGCAGGAAGGAGAGCCTCCTCCAGATCGTGGAAAACCCAGAGCTGCAGCTGCAGCTTGATGGCTTTGGGGCACCTTCTCCACCCGGCGCAGACCAGAGCCCTCCGCTCAGCTCAGACCCTCCAGGGCCTCTGGGGTCCAGCTCAGCCGGAAACAGCGGGGCGCCCCACGTGCAGCTGGTGGCAGGGACCAACTTCTTCCACCTCCCGCTCACCCCTGATTCGTCCCCAGATGTCCGCCTGGATCTCGGCAATTGCTCTGAGGTGCTGAACTTGGCCAAGAGGCAGAACCTGGAGGCGCTGAAGGAGGCGGCCTACAAGGTCATGAGCGACAACTACCTCCAGGTCCTGCGGAACCCCGACATCTACGGGGGCCTGAGCGGGGCCGAGCGGGACCTGATCCTCCAGCGGCGGCTCCAGGGCCGCCCGCAGCTGGTGGTGGCCGACGTGTGTCCCCAGGAGGACGCTGGCCGCCTCTGTCGCTATGACGACGAGCAGGACGCCTGGCACCCCCTGGCCCACCTACCCCCTGAGGCTGTGTCCCGCGGCTGTGCCGTCTGCAGCCTCTTCAACTATCTGTTCGTGGTGTCTGGCTGCCGGGGCCCTGGGCGCCAGCCCTGCAGCCGCGTGTTCTGCTACAACCCGCTGACGGACATCTGGAGCGAGGTGAGCCCGCTGAACCAGGCGCGGCCGCACTGCCGGCTGGTGGCCCTGGACGGGCGGCTCTACGCCATCGGGGGCGAGTGTCAGCACACAGTCGAGTGCTACGACCCCCGCCTGGACCGCTGGACCTTCGTCCCGCCGCTGCCCAACGACACCTTCGCGCTGGCGCACACGGCCACGGCCTGCGCGGGGGAGATCTTCGTCACGGGGGGCACACTGCGCTACCTGCTGCTCCGCTTCTCCCCGCGGGAGCAGTGCTGGCGCGCGGGCCCCGCGGCGGGCGGCAAGGACCGCACGGCCGAGATGGTGGCTGTCGACGGCTTCCTCTACCGCTTCGACCTCAACCGCAGCCTGGGCCTCGGGGTATACCGCTGCAGCGCCAGCACCCGCCTCTGGTACGAGTGCGCCACGCACCGGACGCCTTACCCAGACGCCTTCCAGTGCGCCGTGGTGGACAACCGCGTCTACTGTGTGGGGCGCCAGCGCACGCTGGGCTTCCTGGCGGACCACGTCTCGCCCAGGTTTGTGCCCAAGGAGCTGCGCCACTTCCCCGACCCACAGGGCACGCTCCTGCCCACTGTGCTGACCTTGCCCAGCCCCACGGGGCCTCAAACCAGAGTCTAGCCGCCCCCACTGCTGGGCAGCTGCTGCAAAACCGGCGGGCAAAGAGCACCCCCTACCGGCTGCTCCGTGGGCCTGCAGGTGAGCCAGGGATTTAGCCTGCAGGGGGCCAGTCTCGTCCTACCCCCTCCTTTCTCAGCTGCGATCTGGGGGTGCAGAGGCCCAGTGTGAAGACAAAGCCAGGAAGTGGTGTTCCGACGCAGTGGACACCCTCCCTTGTCCGCAGGGAGGACCAACCACCTTGCTTCAGATCTGAACTCGGTGGCAGGGGAGGAGGTGGGGGTGGGAAGCCAGGTTTGGTAGCACAGGTTTATCACAAGCACATTTCAGAGGCTAACTGACCCCCAGGGACCACTCGGGGGGGGGCCCAGTGGAGATGGGCCAGTTCTTCTAGGCCCAAGACCACTTCACGAACACTGCCCCTCTCGAAGCAGCTGCACCCACAGGTGAGAAAAATCAAGGAAGGTACTTTCAGCAGAACTAAGAAGGCACCAGGGAGCCCCCCCACCCCCACCCCAACCAGACCAGGAGAGGGCTGGAGAAGTAGAACAGCTCCAGCTGAAGCTGCCCACGGGGACGCTCGCCTGTAGAGTCAATTTGCCAAAGCCACTTTGCTTTTTCTCATTACCTGGAATTCTAGTATACTAGAAAGAAGTCTCCATTTTTAGCACCCATTTGAAAAAGTACATCTTCTTGCAGGTCCATTCAATAGAACACAATTGATTCTATATATCAGGTCTCAGGAGAGCTGAAGAGAAGGGGTGATCGCCAGGCCACCATCCTCCTTGGTCCCTGCTGTGCCTTTTGAATTTTAACCAATGAGCTCTCCCAGTCTCAGGACCCTTCACAAGACAGATCTCCAAGCCGCCCCACTCACCCCCGGGAGCCAGCCGGCCCCAGCCTGCCCTCCACACTTGGTGAGAGGGGTGGCATAACTTGCCCTCCCTGGGCCATGCAGCCCCCTGGTCCACTTCATCAGCCAGGAGACCAGGGAGGGGCAAGTCCATGATGGGACTGAGACACTCAGGGTCCTCAGTGGCCCTTCAGGAGACAGGAGCCTCCTTTCACATCAGATTCTGTAAATCCGACAGAAGAGATGCCCCAATCAGGAGGTTACCCACGTTTGCTGGTGGGAAGTGAGCGCACCTGTTACCACAACCCGCTCCTTCTCCTGGGAAGATGCGTACAGCTAGAAGAACAGTGAGGCTCTCGAGCCCCACCAGCGCTGTGGCTGGGGCCACTTCAACGTGGCCAGGGGCGCCGAGGACAGCAGCGAGATGGCAGGTGCACCAGGTGAGAAGGGTGGGGTGGAACCCAGGGTCCCTCTCTGGAAAATGGGAAGCACAACTAGAATCCTTCTCTGAGATAAACAAGAACACCTGGAGAAAATTCTTCCCAAGGTCCCAGGAATCCCAGCAGAAGCTTGTGTTCGCAGCAGCAGCTGTGTTAAGGCTGGGGGCTCTTTTGGAAGATGCTGGATTGAAACAAAGAACAAGGAGGTTGGCATGGAGACTAGAATTTTTACCAGAGCACTCGAGGCCACTTTCCCTAGTCTAGAGTCTGGCGGGCGAGGCTGTCTTGACTACCAGGCTGGGAGAGAAGAGTTAGCAGAGACTGTGGCTGGTGCCTAGGAGTGACCCCCTCCCGCACCAAGGCCAGGCTCAAGCTCAAAGTCAACACTCAGGTTTGAATCTCCGTGGTGGGGGAGGGAGTGGCTGGGAGGTGATAGTGCACTGTGGTGCCAGGATGGGAGGAGAACCCCACTGAGAGTTGGGGGCAGGTGGGACCCCACCCAGCTTCCAAGAGCAGGCCAGTGAGGAGCCAGGAAGAGAACACACCCCAACCAAGCTGCGTAGACTGTGGGGTCAGGCGGTACGCCAAGGGTAAGCTAGGGGCCTCTCTGGGGATTGCATGAGGGCTAAGATCCGGGATAAAGTAGCAAGTGGATGCCAGGTCGACAGCTGGCAGGGGTGGTCTTCATGATTTGGTCCTGAGATGAGCTGAGATTTGCCTCCCTAGGGTCCCTGGGCAGACATGCCTCACCGATGGCCTGTCCCCTTATCTTTTCTGATTGAGCCCTTACAACCTCAGAGCTGCTCCAGTGTCAGACCCCAGGCAGTCATGGCCCGTAGATTTCCCATCAGCTTCTGGGTCTCAGAAGCTGAGTTTAGGAGACTAGAGGGTCAGGGCATCACGGGGGAGCCAGGAAGCTGGGGGCCCATGGTGGTCAGGATTCACCTACAGGACGTGAAGACCAGGCATCTTTCCAGATGCTGGGGGTACAGCCAATCCCTCCCCTAATGGAGCCCACATGGAGAGTGGGGGACGGAAAAAGCAACTGTAGAAAAGGAACACATGGACAATAGGGTCCCGATGAGTGCGTGCCATGGAGAGACAAGGCAGGAGCTAGTATGGCGAGGCCTCCTGAAAAGAACACACCGAGAGAATGGGGGCCTGAGAGTGCCGAGGACGCCAGGGCTGGCTGGGATCTGGGAAAGGCCGGCCCTGCCAGCCAGCTGCCTGGACCACCTCCAAGGAGCCCCGTCGTGAGTGACTCGAGCAGGCCCAGCTTTTCTGCTTTAGCTTCTTACAGAAGGGAGAGTCCCACTCCAACACTTACAAGAGTCTCCTGGAATGAGATAAGCGATGTGCCCAAGGGAGAAGCAAGAGGATGAGGGTCACAGGCGCCACCGGGACACCCCAGATGCCACCACGAAGCGGGTGGCTGGTGTCAGCCGGCCCATCGGGGGCAGGGGCGCCGGGGGGTCAGAGTTCAGGGCTTCTGCTTGACCTTGGTCTGCCGACCCCAGCCCTCAGCCTCAGCGTGGCCTGCGTGGCCCGCGTGGCCCGCGTGGCCCGCGTGGCCCGAGTGGCCCTCGCTCCTCTGGGGTGATCTGTCCTGCTTCCCCACTAAAAGTTCTTTTGTCTTTGCGGGAAAGCAACACGATTTTGGGCATCCATGTTAAGACAACCATGCCACTATAGAAAAAAATTAGAAAACCGAGAAAAGGATAAAAAAATCTCCCCAATTTCACCACCCAAAGACACCCCCCCGCTGTGGCGCGCCCCTCCGGTCTGCTTCCTCCGTGTATAATTCTTGTTCGGCTTGATTTTGCATAGGTGTGATTATGCTGAATCCACAATTCAGTTGCTTCCTTTTTCCCACTTAGCTTTTTAGAATAAGCACTTTCCCGTGTTATTACAAACCCTCGGTAAACATCATTTCAATGGCTGCGCGAGATTGCGCCGAGTGTGCGGACCATGGTTTATTTAAACATCCCCTCCTGTTGGGCCTGTAGTTGCTGGTTTTTTGTTGTTTTTTTTTTTTTTTCTCCTGTTGGTTTCTTTTGCTATCATAAATAAAGCGTCCTTTGTTTTCTTGTTCCTCTCTGTCTGGGGCTTCCATCAATATTTACAAGAGGAGCGCCTTCCAGTCCTGCCTGGAATAGCAAGGTTGTTGAAACTGCCCCGAAGCCAGGGCTGGTGCCTGGGCACACACCGGTGTAGGCAGGGGGCTGCCTTTGGAAACGGCCAGTGGAAAGGCGAGGTGGCCAGAGGGGCCATCCCTGGAGCCGGCCCCAAGGCAGATGGCCCCTGTACAGAGCCAGGCTCTGTGCCTGCCATGCTGGGACTAAAGTGTGAGCACATCACCTCCTCCAGCCCCCCACCCACCCACCCATTTCACAGGTGGGCAAACTGAGGCTCAAAGAGTTCCAGGAAACCTGCCCTCATGGCAAAATCCAAAGGCCTTCAGTTTCCTTAAAAGCACACTTGAGCCCACCCCAAACCCTTTTCCCCTTTCAGGAAGTCCTGCAGCCTTCACCACCTCCAGAGGCACTGCACCCCCTTTCCACCCACACCGGAGAATTTTACTCTCTCCTTGAACTTTGAAATCAATGCAAATCTTAAACGTTCCCAACCTCAAAATCTGCATCTTTGAAATGGGTTTGCCTCTGTCAGCCAAGAGAGGAGGTTGTAAGAACTAATGTGAAAATGTGTGTAAAGCCCGGGGCCAGCCAGGAACTGCCCCACAGCAGTCTCGGAGGAAGCACAGGCCTGGGCAGGAGGCGGGGCTGCCCTGGGAGCCAGAGCCACCGCAGCGGCAGCGGGACACCACCCCAGTGTTGGGCTACCAGGCCCTTCCCTGGGGCAAGGCGTCTTCGCTTTGTCTCCTCCCCTGGAAGTTACCAAGGGTTCTGAGTTCCCCTCTGAGGCCCCTGAAGCTGTGGCTCCTGCCCGGAGGAACCCCCAGGCAGAAGTGAGGCTGCCACCGAGGGAGAGGAAGAGAGAGAAAACCTAGGTAGGGTGCCCTCAGGGAGCAGAGGATTAGCCTGGAGGAGAATCTCCAGGACCTCGGGTGTTTTGACAAGTGGGTGTGGGTCAGAATAAAACACAAACGGAAAAAGCGATCAGATTGCCTTTTTGTGTGAGGAGGAGGTGGAGACCGGCTTCTACCCTTAGGTAATAACCAGGTTCTGCCTGCAAATGCTTGATCCTTCCTTCCGGGATCCTCTCTGAGACCCCGCTGGGCAAGGAGGAATTAGCGTGATTGTGGTGAGGCAGGGAGACAAGCACAAAGTAAAAAATTAGTATTTAAAACGTATTATAACATCTATCTTTTGTTATGGAAAAACTAGAAGGGAAATGTAACCGTCAAGTTATTTGCCGAGCTCCCACATGCTGTTACTTATTGTGCATCTTATTTTATCTGCAAAACCACCGTGGCAGAGGGCCAGGCTGGACACATTCTCCCCTTCGCCTGAATCTGGCCATCAACTCGTGTAGCTTGAGCCCTGGTTTCATCCCTCTTTAATGCTCAGAGGCCCTGAGAGGGTCCCAGCTACGTCAGCCACAGCCAGGCAGTGGACCCCCATCTGACCACAGCTGCCGTGTGGGCCCACACAGCCCTCGGTCGGGTACAGCCTGTGATGGAGGCTCTATCAGCCCCAGCTCACAGCTGAGAAAACTTGAGTTCAAGTCAATGAAGCAGCTTTCCCGGAGAT